TGGAGGAATCTCAGGAGGAAGCGAATTATTCTAGTAATTGCTATCGAAGATCTCGTAAAAATACTTCTGTTGACACAAACGTCTAACAAACGAAACACGTGCGTGGTTTTGTGTTTTTTCGTTCTTTTTGTAGAAACTCACGAAAGTTGAAAGTGCTAGGCGCCGAGCTGTTTTGTCTGCGTGGCTTGTTGCAGCTCAAGGGCTGCTGACTGGACTGTGACAGTGGTTGGGTAAGAACCGGGTCGTGCCTTGGTTTCATCATTTCAGGGTTTTCTCGAGTTTCATCTCAAGATTTCAAGAATTGACGCTCGGGAACCATTTTGAAATATTTTGGTTTACAAATTCCTCAACTTGGACTGGCAATGAAAACAGAGCGCGAAGGTTGCCCAGCAGTCTTGTGGCGGTTTAAATATTATTTAAATTTCTTTGAGAAGAATATTTAGGCCTAAGAGAGGCGATGTTACATCGTGTAGCTTCATGATTTGTACTCTTCAATAAATAATTTTAGGATGATCATATCAAGCAGGAGGAGATTGGCGGTGCATGTAGCGCGCAAAGGAGACATGAAAAATGTGTGCAACATTTTGGTTGGAAATCCTGGGGGAAGAAACTTTTCGGAAGACGAACACCTCGATGTGATGTTGATATTAAATGGATCTTATATATATTCAAAAGTAAATAATAAATACGTGACAACGGTGCCTAATTCTGAGGTGGGTGCGTCTTTGGAGTTAACAGACGTAATCTCGGATGCGTTCAAACATCCTTTTCAGGATGTAACACATCATGGCGGCCTCGCGAGATTCATAGTTGGTTCTCAGACCCTTTGGAATCGGTCGTGTCGAAGCACGGACCGGGATGACGCCCTGATGATGGAAGCAGCAAGGAGATGACGCTATCGTAAAAAATTGAAAGTTTGAAACATGGCATTGTGAATATGTTACGAGTTATCTTTTTTCTCTTAGAGTTGGAACAGCGTGGTATTCCCATTGAAGTTGGTTTCAATTTGTAATTCGTGATTGCAAAAACTTCCTCTTTATAAATCGTAAACACGTAACACGTGTAGGTATTTTAACTTGAACCTCAGTTGAGTTCGCTGTAAACAGAGGAAGCACTCGTCATATTGACCCAGACGTGCAGAATTCTGTCGGCCTTCTGTTGTCACACGTGCAGTGTTACTGGCGAGAGAAGGAGGTACCACTGGTAGACCTGAAAAGAGATGGACCTCGCATTCGCAGGGACTCAGAAGGAGTAAGGAAAGATGAAACACGGACAGGATTCCGTCTTCTAGTGCGCATTCTGTTGCGTGCCTTCGGATTCCGTAACAACGAACTGGGTGATTATGAAGTGTGAAAGGGCGCGCAGTCGGAAGGAACAATTCCCTTGTTCTGCGATGTCATCGGAGAGGCTAGAGGCGAGGAGGGAGGACCTTGCCCGCTGCAGCCCTGACGGCGTTTCCGAACGCCTTCCCCTCGCTCGACGCCGTTCTCGGAACGAATGACGCAATGCCAAGTCGATTACCTGGCGACATTGTTGCTACCACAAGCAGTGTTGAGTCACTGGAGAGCCGCTTCCAGGACAATGCTCATCAGTGACTGCCCTGCCCTCGAGGGGGATACCGCTAAGTGCATACTTGGAACCCGCGACTATGCCATTGTGGTCACCGCTGAAACAAAGAAAATTGCTTTTCTCTGGATTTTTAAGCATCTCCAAACCCAGGATATTTCCCTATAAATATAACCTCTTATCTAACCCTTTGACAGCCCTGACTTATGTAAACAATGTTTAAAACAGCGACTGTCGGAAAACCCACAATAACACCCTCATGGATTATGTATGTATTGTAACGATGTTTAGGAAAATGTTTGCAACTTATTCTGAGAACCAAACGGAATTCATACTCTGAGACACGCGCGGTTTTAACGTAAAAAGCAGTTGCCATAAGGCGCAACAGAGGATTTGTGTGTTCCTGTGACAGGATTTTGACGGCCAGAGGGCAATAGAGCAAAGTGGAAGGCTTCCTTCGCTGCTCACAGCCCTGCTTATATGGAAATTTCCTGGCGGAAGTGATTATTCGATCCCGGTCGACCACAATATCCTTTGCTGATTACGTCGTCTTAGTGTTCTCGGACTTCGTCTGATTACGTACTAAATTAATAACAGTTTATTCTGTTATCAACAAAATAAAGCAATTCTCTCCGCCAAATCATGGCATGGATATTTGTATTACTTTATGAACAGTTTGTAAAAGAAAAGTTAAGCTTTCCCGCTACACGCCTTGTAGGCGCTTGGAGGGAGAGGAGGTATGGCTCCTACTCATTCTTGACCTCGGCACTAGATGGGGGTGAGTGGTCAGCATCACGCCCCGGCCGGCTTTACCCCCGGGAGAGGACCCCGGTACCCATTGGGTGGGCCCCAGAGCCGGTCTGGACGCAGAGGCTAGAGGAAAAATCCTCTGCCCCTGTCGGGGATCGAGCCTCAGTCGTCCAGTGTGTAAGTATCCGAAGGGTCGAGCGCCGAGACCATAGGTTCAGATCCCACCCCAACATCTGTGGTCCCTCTGACCTTACGATGGTGTCATCCGCCGTCGAAGAGTCCCTCCGCTTGTCTTAATAAGAACTTTGTGGACAGGAAGTTCCCCAGTTTGTGTGTCTCGTCCGTAATATCGCATTGTCTCCTCTCGGGATTTCGAGAGTTGTCAACAGTGATACAATTGAACTGACTCACAGTGAACGCATAGTTTAATTATCTTTCTTACGTATCAAACGACAAAATCCTGTTTCTGTAACGAAGTGTCCGACTGCAGATAACTGACGTGGATCGATGCACACGAGCGAGTTATTTTGGCGATCTCGCCGCGTCATTTAGCAGTACGTGTGAATCAACGGAGCCACGCACACTTTGGCGGTGACGCCGCGAGGAGTTCGCCGATCGCCGCGAAGCAGCATTGGGGCAGTGCACACGTGGTTCGCAATCCTCGCCTACCAGTCATGGAGGATGTTTTGCAAGCCTCATCTCAGAATCTTTACTTTTGATGGATGCATCCAGTTTTGCTGCTAGCTCATCTAACGACTTTAAGCTCATACGAAAATATTTATGAAACTTACTTTCATCTTCTCTTAAATCTGTAAACACTGTCACGAACGCCCCTTTTAACAGCCGTGAACTAACCAACGGGTGTGTCCAATACTTCCTATTGAGTTCTTTAAGGATGTATTCATAAACGAAGTAGGCAAAACTACACGTTTTCTTCAGTACACATCCATTTTGGTTGCCTTCCTCGCTGCGAGCACGCGCGGCATTTTCCCGCTCGTGTGCACCCAGCCTTACAGTTTGACGGCCAGCGTCGAGCTTGACGTCCACTCTTCAGCGTTCGACCTTGCCAGTCAAAGCCTGCGGAACGTCGTCGTAGCGAAAGTGTATAAGGCGTTCGGTTCTGTGGCAGGCGAGAGCCTCTACCACCAGACGCCCTCAATGCCCGGACGTAGTAGGTACTCGGTTTTGGCCAAGTTCTCGTCATGCCTCTAGCCTTGAAAACAAAAATATCTCAAAATATGCACCCGATTCAAGGATTAGGCGACAGTAATTGATTTTTCACGCAATTGAAACTGTTGTGTCACTAGAAATCGATACATTGACAAATCATGTGCCTGTATGCAAGAATGAGTGAAGGAATTACGAAATATTTCGAAATTATGGTACTGACATACTTAGCCGCGTGACTGAAAGCTACATTGACTTAATCTTATGAGGCACAAAGCTTATCCAATTAATATTTTTTTTTAAAAAAGTCAGCCTGTTTCTCTATGATGACGATCAGTTGATTGAACAAATATTGCACCCGCTTTGAACATCGTCAGCCAACAGAACATTTTAGGATGCATCCGCTTTAAAAGTCTAGTCCTTGTGGCATTACGAAACCCTCGAAAAAATTCTTAATGACATAGACACAGGCACATCTTTTTTACGCGAGATTTCAGGTTCTCACGGCAAGGAGTACGTTTTTTTTTCCATGCAGTCTGGTAGAGATTCACCGAAGTTTCGGAGGCTGTTACTGCCTCCATCATCAGGTCAGGTCAGTGGCGCAGCGTCCCGAGAGACAGTCGTCTCCATGTGTTCCTTGAGTTTCCTTTACGACTCGATACCAAGTAACGGCAATCAACCAACAGCGGTCAGAACTGCGTGCACGGGTTAGGTCGGGGATGGATCCCGGGCCATTGGAGACGGTCAAGACAAGCAGCGCCAGTGGAGTTGTTGTGA